TCTGGTAAGAGAATGTAGCTTTTTGCTCATTTTTAGATCTTTGGAAGCAATCCGAGTCCATCTGTGTCTCGGGAATATTGGCGCAGGTCCAAGTTGGTCAGAATAAAGGAAACAAACCCCAAGTCCTACTAGCAGAATGCTTTGAGTCTCAGACAAGATATTTTTTTTTCTTTTTAGTTCAAATCATTTTGTCTGGCTGGAGTTTCTCCCAGTCAAGATAGTGAACGTCTGGCCAGGAATCATCTAAACCTCATTAGAAGGAATGGCAATAGTATTTCAGCATTTCATTTCTCTCTGTTGAACTCAGTGAGCTCCCTAGTGAACTCAGATTATTTTTTCACTATGGTCTTTATGTTGCAAATGCAACCAACAGGCAGCTTGGGTCATTTTAAACAATTATGTTTTTGGCACTTGATTAAGGCATAAAAATCCAACTCTTCCTCCCCCTTTTCCCCTCCTTTTGCAAGATAAACCTTTGATTTTTTTTTTAATCACAGAAATAATATTTGAAACATTATAGGAGACCATTTCTTAAGGAGGGGACGGGGAAAGAGCAGTTAAGATGCAGTGAATATGAAAACTGTCAAAAGATGAGCAGTAATCAAGAAAGGCAATTCTACCTTCTTTCATTTAAAACGAGGCTATTTTTCCTTTTCTTGGAAAATAAATCCATTCCATCTTAATTTACAAAATAACTTTCCAAAATACAGAGACCTCCCAACTTACTGTCTTTTAATGATCATCCACTTTAGGACACAACAATTCTCCAGAATTCTGGAAAACATACAGTACTTACATCCTTCTACTTTTGCCATTTCTAATTAAATAGCATTTAATTCATAGGTTTTGCTTTTAAAATTAACCGGCAAACTTTGTTCAAGAAAGCCTGATCTACAGAGAATGTAGATACTAGCCTTCTTCACCATTTAGATGAACAGGACTATAACTGCAGATCTGCAGAATGGTATTTTTTGACTTCTGCAACTTTAAGATATGTGAATTTCAGCTCCCAGAATCCCAGCGCATGCTGGCTGGGGAATTGTGAAAGGTGAAGTCTACATATCTTAAAGCTGCCAAGGTTGAAAAACACTGCTCTAGAATCACAAACAGGCCCTTCTCTGTACAGATAGCCTTTGACTTACAACAGTTCGTTTAGTGACTGTTCAAAATTACAATAGCACTGAAAAAAGTCACTTATGAGAGTTTTTCACACTTATGACCATTGCAGCATCCTCATGGGCACATGATCAAAATTCAGGTGCTTGGCACCTAGTTCATATTTATGACGATTGCCTTTTGCGACCTTCCGATAAGCAAAGTCAATGGGGAGGCTGGATTCATCGAACTGTTCTGGACTAGCAGGCTCAAAAGCCTGCAACTCTGATTGGCCCGCGAATAGCAGATCGTGATTGGTCGCCGCAGACTAATGCGATTGGCTAGTAAACGGGCTGCCGCGATTGGCCCAGCCAAGAGCGGCAAACTCAAATCGCCTTCATTGGCTGCCTAGCCACAGCCAGCCCTATATAAGGGGCTGCTGCGGCTGGGATTCTTTGCTCAGATCTGAAAGAGCTGTTATTGTTATCTGAGTCTTGCCTCCATTCTTGAACCATCCTCCCAGATCTAACACGAACAGCCATCTTACTAACTTTAAAAATGCAGTGATTCACGTCACAAGTGTGGCAAGAAAGGTCGTAAAATGGGGCAAAACCCATTTCACAAATGTTTCACTTAGAGACCACAATTTTGGGCTCAGCTGTGGTCGTAAGTCGAGGACTACCTGCACTTTGATTCTTCTGTTCAGAATCTCACTGGACAAAGCAGCTGTTCTGCCACTATGGGACAATTGTTCCCTGTGTAATACAATTAGATATTCAAAGCCCACTTCCTTACTTGCTAAATTCCTACGAAGGACTAAAATGCTGTTCCTGCAGATACTGAGATATTGCTATCCTACACATGCTGCGCAAGCAACAGAAACAAACAAAAAGACTGCACTATTCCCAAATTCAAAAGGGTCTGATGGGCTCCTTGGATTTCTAAGGGTTATGGTGAGAAATAAAGTAAGTTTATTTCAGAGAAGGCATGTTCTAACTGCTCTGCCTCTGCTGTACCAATATTCCTTCCAACATTATCAAAAGGTTGTTCCCCCCATCGCTCCCATTTTCTTTCACCATCCCCTCAAAAAGCAGCATGAAACTGAGCCACCATTATCTTCAGAGAAACGAGGAAAGGACGGTGAGGTGACATGTGAATTCCCATCAGGGCTAAATGTCTATGGAGATTCTCAATCATCCAGGTCATGATGATTTCGGACAACCGCACCAATATGTTAGAACTGAAGAAGCTTCTTAGATAAGGAGTGAAATTGTTTCAAAAGAAGAAGAAAAAAACCAAGTGAGGAAAAAAAATCTTTCTGTCCCATCAGGTCTGTTCTGGGCAGTGATGTTTAAAAGAGTTAACTTTATGGCTGCAACCATGTAATTAAACATGTGAGATCCAAAGGTGCTTTTCTCAAGAGGCAACTGGACTTTCTTGTTTTTCTTTGAAGACATTTCGCTTTTCATCCAAGAAGCTTCTTCAGCTCTGTGTGAGATTTCAGACACCAGCCATAGCTCAGTTTTTTTAAAAAATTATTATTTTTCCACTCCCCATGGACATCTCTGCTTCTTGTCATTACATAGTGTTAGGGTTTGAACCGCCTGTAACCATGAAAATGTGAAGTTAAGGTATGGCAGCTGTGAAAAAAGTCCATGTTAGGAATCATTAGGAAAGGATTGAAAATAAAACTGCCATCACTGGAATGCCCCTATCCAAGTCCATGGTGGGCTGGCACCTGGCATACTATGGATAATTCTAGGCGGTGTCATTTGAAAAAGAATAGAATTGGGAAAAATACAGATGAACCAAAATGATTGAGAGGTTTGAATACTTTTCCTACAAGAAAAGGGGATAGAATTCAAATCCCCATAGTTTACTAAAAAGAAAAAAAGAGGCTGAAAAGGAATATAACTGAATTGCATAATGCAATGCATACCACGAGAAACTGGACAAGGGGAAATAGTTTTTCACTTCTCAAAACTGTAGCGCAGACATCTTTCTGAGAAACGAATCTTGGATGAATAAGGGCCTTCATCAGATTTAGCAGTGTTGTTCTTACATTCTTACAGAAGAGCCTGCTCAGAACTGGGGTGCCAAAGCGATAAGGCTAGATTTGCTATTATCTCACAGTGAAAGAATAAATGACCAAGCAAATGACTCAGTTCCTGCATTTGGGGTGCATATTATAAATATGTAGGTTTTGCTTTTAAAATTAACCTGCAAACTTTGTTGAAGAAAACCTAATCTACAAATAATATATAAATCTCGAGTCACACAAAGTCCCTGGGAAAAATGATCCAGTAATCCACTAACTCAAAGCCTTTCATAACTTTCCACCTTTGGCTTGGAGTTGCAATCTTCACCAGAGATGGTATTCAGCAGGTTCTGACCAGTTCTGGAGAACCGATAGCAGAAATTTTGAGTAGTTCGGAGAACCGGCAAATCCCACCTCTGACTGGAGATTTTACAGTATCCTTCCCCTGCCAGGCCCACCTAGCCACACCCACAGAATTGGTAGTAAAAAAAATTGAATCATACCACTGATCCTAACATATATGCAATTGTGAAAGTCTGATTAAAGTAAATTCCCCTTGTGGGAAGAGGTACCCTGGGGCTGTGAGAGAATGACGACCAAAACCATGGGTGAGATTTGGTGGTTCCTGCAAGACCAGACTTTTGTCTATAGAAAAACTGATGTGGTCTCTCCCAGCCACTTTTTAACTGATCTCTTATGTGTTAGCTGCTCCACAACACACTAATCTGGGGTTAATTTTGTCCAGGTATCAAGTATCAGACTAATGGCTTCAGCCACCTGTGATTTTTGATCAGTTATTTCAGAGTGGGCAATTCTGCAAGTTGAAGTCCACGCATTTTAAAAGTTGCCACCCATTTTAAAAGTTTAAAGAGGCTGAGAAACACAAAGTTGTTTGGACCTCGGGTTCCATTTGACAAATGAGGGCCTGAGAGTTGAAATCAATGGTTTCCTGTCAGAGTTTCATTTTAAAAAGGAGAAATTCCTTTGACACTTTGGGCTGCGCTTTGAAATCAGGTTTCTTTTGCTTCTTGTGAGAAGTCCCATTTTCCCTCCTTCGCTCATCTGCTTGTAGCAGCACAAAAGGAGAGCCTGGGCAGAAGGTCGGGCAAGAAGCAAATGAGCCAACCACTAAGACAACCAAGCAGGACTCTTTTCTTGTAAAAGGCGCAAGCGACAGCCCGCATCTACCTTTCCTAGCCATAGCTCGCTGGGACCGTATTACCAATGGAAATCATGCTTGTAAGGCTGCAACAGCGCGAGAAACTTGAGTGGAGGAAGTCATTTCCGTCAGCAGTGTCCAACTTTGGCAACTTTAAGCCTGGAGGACATCAGTTCCCAGAATTCCCCAGCCAGCCTGGAGGACTTCAACTCCCAAAATTCCCTGGCCAGCCTGGAGGACTTCAACTCTGGCTGGCTGGCTGGGGAATTCGGGAGCAAAGCTGGCTGGGGAATTCTGGGAGTCGAAGTCCTTCAGGCTTAAAGTTGCCAAGGTTGGACACCCCTGATTTAAGTAACAGGTCCAGGATATTGAAAACTGTATACTTTTTTTTATTTCACCCGAACCGATCAACTTCGGAGCAAAACTTCGGATGACTTTCGCCCTCAAGCCTTTAAAAGAGGGGAGGGGGGAGAGAGAGAGAAGGAGGAAAAGAGGCAGGGAGGCAGGGAGAGGGAGCATGAGGGCGGGGCGACGTCACGTCATTGCTCCCCCCCTCCGTCGTTTCCCCACCCCCACTCCCACCCCCCAAAGAGTCCTCCTGCACTCGGCTGCCTTTCTCGCCCAATCACGGGGCGGTATGCAAACGAGCCGAGCGGTTTTGCCCGCTTGCGAGCAAAACATGAGCTCAGAGTGGCTGGGAGCGGAGCGGAGCGGCGGCCTTTTGCATGCGAGGCGCCTCTTTGTGGCACCCGCTCAGCGGCGCATCCCCGGCGGCTCTTCTTTATTTACCTCGCGCTTGAAGGCGGCGGCGGCGGCAAAATAAAAAATGGAGTGCTCGGCTCGCGCCAGCGGCTGGCTGTAGCAACGCGACCGGATTTCGCCGAGCAAAGAGATTCCTCCCCCCCCCCACAGTCCGCGAGCATGAAGTACAAGGTAAGGAAGAGACCGCGGTGGAGGGGGGGGGCGAGTGTGAGTGCACGCGCGTGGGGTGAGCAACTTTCCAAAGCGGCTCGTTTTGCCAAAGAAGGGACCGAGTCGCTTTCGGAAGGAAAAGGACGGAGCGAGAGCCCCGCGGATGGTGCTGAGGCAAGCTTCAGTGGGTGCAAACCGGACTGTCAAAAAGAAGATTCCCAGGGAGGTTTAGACTAGAGGTGGTTTGGGTGTGAAAGCGGCGGGGCTTGCTACCTTCCTGCCCGTGAAGACCTTTCAGGTCGACTTTTACTCCCGCCTTTTAAAGCGGAGCTTTCCTGACCTGCGGATGCTTCTCAGCTTTCTCCGCCTCTGTGAGGATTCAGGGCAATTCGGAATAGAGCTGGAAGGGACCTTGGAGATCTTCTAGTCCAGCCCCCCGCCCCCAAGCAGGAGACCTAGTATGTATCATTTCCCACAAGTTGCTGTCCGGTCTTAAAAGCCTCCAGGGATGAAGTACCCACAACTTTTATTTCTTTATTTTGATTTGTCAATCGCTTACAAGATAATAGGTATAAGTATATACATAGTTATGAATACATGAAATGGGTACATATAAGAAAAATAAAAGAAACAATAGGACAGGGATGGTAGGCACGTTGGTGCACTTATGCACGCCCCTACAGACCTCTTAGGAAAGGGGTGAGGTCAATAGTAGACAGTCTAAGGTTAAAGTTTTGGGGGGTTGGGAAAAAAAAACCACAGAGTCAGGTATTCCAAACATTGACCATTCTGTTGCTGAAGTTGTATTTCCTGCAATCAAGTTTGGTGCGGTTAACCATGAGTTTATATCTATTGTGTGCTCTTGTATTGTTATGGTTGAAGCTGAAGTATTCATTTGCAGGTAGGACATTGCAATGTATGATTTTATATACCGTACTTAGATCAGACCAAAGACGGCGTAATTCAAGGTTTTCTAGGTCTAGAATTTCGAGTCTGGTGGCATAAGGTATTCTGCAATGAGTAGAGGAGTGGAGAACTCTTCTTGTGAAATATTTCTGGACTTTCTCAACTGCTAATATCAGATATGTAATGCGGGTTCCGGACTGATGAGCTGTATTCAAGTATTGGTCTAGCAATGTTTTGTATGTTCTAGTTAGTAGTGAGATATTACCAGAGAAAAAGCTATGTAGGATTAGGTTAACAACTCTTAATGCCTTTTTGGCTATGTAGTTACAGTGGGCTCTAGCACTTAAATCATGAGATGAGTATTCAAGGGTCCTTTACAGAGCTTGGATCATCAACAAGGTCAGCCTGTATTTTATTTTCTGCCTGTATTTCTGTATTGTATTCAGCCTGTATTCTGTATTGTACTGTACTGTACTGTACTGTATTCAGCCTGTATTTTATTTTCTGATTTATTTATTTTTTGCCAATATGTAAGACAGAGCATTTATTTGTTGAGATTTGAAGTTGCCATTTGTTTGACCATTCTGATACATAGTTGAGGTCTTTTTGAAGGGTAGCAGTATTGTTTGTGGTGTTGAATAGCTTTACATCATCAGTGAAGAGAACGCAGTTGCTCTTAATATGATCACAGAGGTCATTTATGTAGAGTATGAAGAGAGTTGGTCCTAGAACACTGCCTTGGGGGACACCACTGTTGACAGGTACAGAATTTGATAGGACGCTCCCAATTTTGACCATTTTTTGTCTGTTTGACAGGAATGCTTCTATCCAGTTATGTAGTTGTCCAGAGATACCATAAGATTTTAGTTTTAGGAGTAGTTTGTCGTGTACCACTGAATCAAAGGCTTTACAGAAGTCTATATAGATTGCGTCTATTGTTTTGCCCTGATTGAGTTGTGTAGTCCATATGTTTTTGCAGTGTAAGAGTTGCAGATTACAGGATTTTTTTTCCTGAAACCAACTTGTTTGTTAGAGGGTAGGTTGTTTGTCTCTTAAGTGGAGGATAAATGGATTGGTTAATAATTGATCCCATGACTTTACAGATGACACAGTATAAGGAGATTGGTCTGTAATTTTCAACTAGGCTGGAGTCTGCCTTTTTGAGGATGGGGATGACCGTGGCTTGTGAACTTCTGAAGGCAAGTTGTTCCACTGGTTAATTGTCCTCACTTTTAGGAAGTTTTTCCTTAATTCCAGGTTGCTTCTCTCCTTGATTATTTTCTATCCAATGTTTCTTGTCCTGCCCTCTGGAAAATAAGTTGACCCCCCGCCCCCCCATCTTGTTGGCGTCAGCCCCTCAAATACTGGGATACTGCTACCCCTAGTCTTTTTCTCTATACTAAATGGTAGTTGCCTGCATCTGGAGGGTGCCAGGCTGAGAAAGGCTGTTCTAAATTTTGAGGAGGGATGTGTTTTGCTTTTTATTGCTTCCAACGTGGGAACGTTTTTGCTCCCAAGATACCAACATGACGGGCATCATTTGCATCATTTTTGTTTCCCTGGAGCAATGTTCCTTTTAAGAATAAAATCTCACATGGTTCTGAGTCAAGCACATTGCATCAAATAAGCCCCACGCAATGCCCTTTATCTAAGCCTAAGTCCTGTTGAACTAAGGAACTCGATATACATCATGCTGCCACGTTTATTACTTACAAATAAGTCTGTTAGCTCAGTTTTGTCATAAGCATAGCAAATGTTTAACTTTTCTGACTAAGATGCAAGGTAAAAAAATATGACAAATCGGTTAGTACTCATAAAACCAAGTAAATCAATCTTGAATGGACAGCTAAAAGAGAAGGAATTCTGATGGCATTCAGTTACTTATAAACATCTTCTGCTTACTTGTGGAACAATCAGGTAGTCCTTGACTCACAACAGTTCATTTAGTGACAGTCCAAAGCTACCACGGTACTGAAAAAAGGGACTTATGACCATTTTTCACAGTTATGACTTTGAAGCATCCCCATGCTCATGTGATCAAAATTCAGATGCTTGGCAATGGGTTCACACTTATGACCCTTGCTGTGTCCCAAGGTCACACGATCCCCTTTTACAACCTTCTGACAAGCAAAGTCAATGGGAAAGTGAGATTCATTTAACAACCAGGTTACTAACTTATCAACTGCTGTGATTCACTTAACATCCCTAGCAAGGAAGGTCATAAAATGGGGCAAAACTCACTTAACAAAAAAATATGTGGGGCTCAGTTGTGGTTGTAAATCAAGGACTACCTTTATTAATGTTGCCTAAACAATGATAAAAAGATTTTATTGGGCGCTGTTCAAGCTCCAACTCTAAGCAAGATAAGTATTTCTTTGGCTTTGCTAAAAGCATAAATTAGGATTTTGTTTCCTGGTACTTTTGTGATATAACGTCAGCTGTTGACTTGAGAGGAGGTAGAATTTTACCTTGTCTTGTGCGAGTATACATAGACGATGTGAAAGATGTTTTTTTCCCAGTGAAATATCATGTTTTGATAAGCAGAACTGTATAATTGCAGAATAATTGCTTGCTTACTTTAAGTAGAAATGCTTTAATGGACAGTGGGGCAAAGTGCTGGCTTCCTTGATCTGATGCCTCTAGATATATACTTTCTGGCATTTCAGGATAGTGGATCTTGGGAATTGTAATCCAAGACATCTGAAATCAGGCAAGAGAGCAAGGGATGATTGTTATGATTTCTCTATACTAAATTCCTTGCATAAGTGGCATTTGTTATATTTTTAATAAAGAGGCTATAATTTAACTCACCGGCAGTGTTTTACTATAAATCTGTCTATTCCAATCAGAATAATTTATTATCTTTCCAAACTTTTTATTATTATTTTTTATTATTTTAAATTTGTGCATGCTTGCTCAGAAATCCTACTGACCTCAATATATATATTTACAAATAGGGAAACTCTGGTTTGATTGCTGCTAGAGTAGAACTGCGTAAAATTTACCTGAGTAGAATCTAGGACAACCTTTCTCAAACTTGGCAATTTTAAGCTAGCTAGAAAATTCTGGGTATTGAAGTCCACCCATCTTAAAATTGCCAAGTTTGACAAACACTGATTTAGGAAGACACTATAACCTTCTGGGCACTGATGGATGCACAGCCATGGAGTATATCTGAGATATGAATTTAGCAAATAACAGCTACTGCAATCTTATTTTCTTAAAATTGACAAGGACATGGGAAAGCAAGCATATCAAGATTAAGAAAAATACAGAAGATTTGTTCAAAAGCTCTTTCTCACAAAAAATGTTCACAGCTTTATTTTTTGTGGGGGTGTGAGTCTTTAGCTTTTAGATAAACTTTCATATATTCAATATATACAGTAGTTTTGTGTTGCTTCTAGGAGCCTATGATGATAGGAGGAGACTGAATGTGCAAATTAAGAAAGATAATAACAATAATAACAACAACAAATAATAAGATCATCAACTAGATAATCATGACCCATTATAACTTCAGAGATAGTTTCTTATGTCGGATGACTGTGGCTATTTGGCAGATGCAGATGCAATGGGAATGGGAGTGACTTCCAACTTCCTGCCAGCTTCCCCCCTTGGCTTTCCTTCTAGAAAGCTGGCAGGGAACATTGGAAATGACAATGACGTGACTTCAGCTGATCATGGCAGCACAGAAGTGGACAAACCTTTGCCAACTTTTAATCCCACAGGAGTCATGGGTCTCAGATTTTGGATGCATTTTGTAAATTAACCCATTTATGGCAGGTTGATTCAAAAATGGTTGCCCTTTGTTGCACTGTGATGCAATATTCAAATGGACAAAGGGGTTTTAGTAGTACCGGTATATAGATCCATGCCTAAAGATAAATATAGTACCTAAAAGTAATCTATTCATGGCTTATCAGAATTTACAAGGCACATGCAAATTGCACATTAAGTAGACATTTGAAAATTATAATAACTGCACGCCTATTGCTGTTATTACCTGTTATTGCATGATTACCAGAAAACGGACAGAAAGATCCTTGAAGGACAATATGAAACATCCATGAAATGAGTGCAATTTTCCCCAGTCTGGTATCATTCAAAGGTACTGG